TGCTTCATTTTCTTAGTTTAGTTTCAAGTTTAGGATTGTTATTAGTTCAATTTTTAATTAACTCTAGTTTTGTATTAGTTTATTTTTTCAGCTTTAGTAACTCACCTCCATCGTGATTCAAGTATTCAGTTACTAAGGTTCATTATATTCGTGCAGAAGCAGTTCAGTATATTCGCTGTTGTGTTTTTAGTTTTCGTGATTTAGCAGTCAGGGATGCTTGCTTGTTTGTAGCAAACCATCAAAGGGTTTTTTTTTTTCTGTTGCCATGAAAACTGATTTTTCGTTCACATGTTACTGCAATATTTTCTTGATTGTTAGTCTACTCAGATTATATTTGCTCATGTAGCAATTTGAAGATAACCATGTTGCAATGGTGGTCTGATTTCAATTTGGGAGCTGGATGATAATTGGTCTGTCCATTCTATATAATAATATTAGGTCATTAGTTCTCTATAGGATTTTACATTGGTTTCAGATTTGGATTAGTTTAATTTCAGGTTTCCAAAGCTGTATACGTTAGTTTCAGGTTCAGTTATGTTATTAGTTTAGTATTGTGTACTTTCAGTTTAAGTATTTCAGTCGCATTTTGTAAGTGTTAATTGACTCAGTTTTTTTGTTGGCATGGAGTTTCTGTAATCCAGCCTGGTGCATGTTTTTTATTTATTTTTCATTATTATTTAGTTTCAGTTGTAGATATTTTAGTCCCATTGTGATTCAGGTACTAAATCTAAGTTTCTAGTCTGTCAGTTTCAGTCTTAGGTATGTTTCACATTGGTTATGATGTTTACTGAATCTAGTTCAGTTCGCTGTACATTTTCAGTTGAGTTTCAGTTAACTGAATCTAGTTCAGTTCAGGTTTAGTGTTTTTTTCATACATCTTTCAGTGCTTTTATTCATACATGACGTAATGAGTTTTCAGTGTCTCTTTTCATACATGTTTCAGTTTTTTTTTTCGTACATGACACAGAGTTTTCAGTGTCTTTTTTCATACATGTTTCAACGCTTTTTTTTTACATGATGTAGTGAGTTTTCAGTGTCTTTTTTCATACATGTTTCAGTGCTGTTCCATAAAGAGGAAGGTACACAGGGAGCAGCAAGCTAGCGCAATGACATCCTCTTCTTCTTCGCCGCATAAATCCGGCGCCCAGTTCACACCACGAACAAGCTTCTCTTCAAAAGGCGATTCCTTCTGATCCTCTTCTTCGTCGCATTTTATAAGTTTTAATTGACTCCTTAGTTTTTTTGTTGGCGTGGAGTTTCTGAAATCTAGCCTAGTGCATGTTTGTTTTTTCATTATTATTTAGTTTCAGTTTTAGTATTTCAGTCCCATTGTGATTCACGTATTAAATCTCAGTTTCTAGTCTTCTCAATTATATTGCAAGTCTTCCATAAAGCCCAAGACATCCTTGCAAATCCAATGTGGAGCTTTACACTTGTCGTAAAGTCATCTTCTTCCCTGAAAATGAGCCCGTGAGATGGGAAGGACTCCTAACAAAGAATGGCAGGGTATACAACCGTACCCTAAATGTATTTCGCAGGATGACAAGTAAAGAATATGTGGTCAATTGTTTCCACATTCTCACACAGAAGACATTTAATAACGCCACCATTTGAACCCCTGTGCTGTAAAATAGGTGCAGCAGGAAAGCTTTTGATGATGCATCTACCAAAGAAAAATTTTGATTTTTAAGGGTATCATCTTGTTCTTCCAAATGTGTTCACTATCTTTGTAAAAAACACCCCCTTGTGTTTAAAATATATGTTGTGATTTGGTAGTAAAATCATTTAAGTTTGGTGTGGACTTCAGTGGACTTTGGCCTGAGGTGCCACTGGCTTGTCAGTATAGTAAGTCGAGCTGGATTTATTGTGCACTCTAACAAGTTGTATTAGAGCCCATGGTTGAAAAACCTGGAACATCTTGGCAGCACATGGTGACGGGGAAGCCCATGAACATCTCCACAGGGTCACACGGGTTGTATGTGATATAAAGAGTCAGACTTAGAGCCTAGGATGACGTATTCCGGAGATCACACAGGGTGCATGTGATGAGACAAAAGAGTTGGGCTTGATGCATGATGAGGAGATTGTTAGGTTTAGTCACATTGAAAATTGATGGTGGTGGAGCACATATAAGGAAGGGAAACCCTCAACCTTTCAGTCTTTCAGACTAGTCTTTTGGGTTTAATTTTTTGTGCTTCATATTATATTTTATTTATTTGCATTAATATAACTAAATTATTCCAGACCTGTGTTGTTTAATTTTTGGCCTTCATATTTTATTTTATATATGTCTTATGATTCTGGCATTCATTATCAAATGAGGTGCTGATGTGTGGGAACTGACCTTGTGTAATTTGCGACGTTGCACTGTTGGCAGGTCTGAAGCCTTCTCAACATTCTTCAGTTCATATATCACAGAAAGAATGTCCTCTCTTCTTTCTCCTGAGTTGTAATGCAAAGCCAGCTCGTATCTTCTGTTAATATATGCGGTGAAAGTTCAATTACTTTGGCATGGCTTAATGCCCTGACGTGCTGATGCACTTTGTCTTTAGACTTCCCGTGTAAAAGAAATTGATTTGGCTAAACTTTAATTAATGAACTATATGGTGTGTTTAGATGCTTAAGCTTTAATTAATTAACACATGCATTAGCTAGCTTATGTGCAAAAATAGTTTTAAATACAATGTTTCCTATTTGTTTTAAATACACAAGGTGACGTTGTCAGGTTGTGCGAAAAATGTCGTTGTTTGGTTGCTTTCAAGTACAACCCTGTAATGAAGTCATGGCGTTAGCACGGGCACTATACTAATAGTCCTAAGGCATTGGTTGGTTGTGGGCTCCGGTTAACCTAGGCCTAGTGTGGCGTTGACTCATGGGTACAGTGAGCTGTACTAGATCTGTTGTGCACTGGAGACCCATAGAAAAAGGTGGTTGGCCCATATGCCTCAACAAATGAAATATACTAGTCTAATAACTATTGTTGTAGTAGTGCTATTTGAGGAAAAGAAATAAAAATATTGTTCCTTACTCTGTACATCATATATGTATAGGGTCTGTTCGGCTGGTATTAAAGCCGGCTGAAGCTGTTTTGTTGTGAGAAAAAATACTGTAGATTCTAGCTGATAATCCGGCTGATAAGTTTAAGCAAACATACCTGTAGGCTTAGCAAGGATATTCTCAATCATTACACACACTCTCTCTCTTGGCTTGGTTCCTAATTCCCACTCCAAAAAGGATTAGGGTATCAAGCACAATTTAGATTTCGTGCCAAAACACCTTCACCGTCAAGATGCTCATCGGTGTGGACAAAGGTAGTGCTATCGCACAGATGCTGGTGTCCCCTCTTCGTCCAAGGCACGTTTTCACCCTCTTCACCCTCCCAGAGCGCAGAGGCTAGCTTCCACACACATATACCTCGGCTACTCAATCACCAACCTCCTTGCAACTACCGTGATCGCCATCGCGTTTTTGCAGGTGGCAGGGTAGAGTAAGCCTGGCATGCCAAACACTTTATAAGAACATATTTGGATGCACATGCATGAAACTAGTTAACATCTTCAAATATCTATATTATCCATGAGCAATTTGAATGAAAGATGCCCAAGTGAACTAAGAGTACTCCACATTTTCTTGGTTTGAAGATCCAAACCAATCCAACCAAGGAGATAACCTAGAGGATCAAGTACGGCAGTCATACAAATTCTTCAAACATGGGCAGCATAGATGAGCAATTTGCGAGAAAAATAAATATCCTCTAGTAGCAGTCCAAATCATAATTATTTGAAAATCCAAAACAATCTAACCAAGGAAATAAACTAAGATTTCAATGGTTTTCTAGTTAGGAACTTCTAAAGGGTAATGCAAATTCTTCAAATATTGGTGGCATCCAAGAATAATTTGGTGAAGATTGGCCTCTAAAATAAACAAACGAGCCTCTCCATTTCATTGATTTGGAGATCCAAGATGATGAAGCTAAGGAAAGAAGCTAATAACAATTTTAAATGGATGGTTGATTACCAACCTTATTGTAAGAGAGTCATGTGATTTGAATGGCCCCAACAATTGACTGAAAAATAGGAAAGATGCTTTCTTTTGATCGGCATGGTTGACAAAGTAGAGGGAGGTCGGTTCCAAAATAAGTCAACTTTTCGTGTAATCCCATGTCAAAAGATCAAATTTATAAAAACAAATGACACCAATGTTTGTTATGGTATAACATTAGTATGTTTAGAAACACCATTATAGATATATTTTTAGATCATTGATGTTGGCATTCTTTTCTATAGAGATGGCAAAAGTTAAGCGGGTTTGACTTAGGACAACTTTAAAAATTGATTTATTTAGGAACAGGATATACAATTATTTAGCTGGCAGTGATGGCCGACGACAGTGATCGGCAATTCGGTCATATAGGCCTGCTATTTTAGAGCTGCAAGTAGTGCAGTCGAGTCAGACTACACATCATTCTTGCTCTGAAACAGTTTGCAGCCGGGCGGGCGACCAAACACGCTTCGATCGGCTTCAGAACAGACCACGTCTGTACTGAATGCAACCTTCCAGCTCCTGCCACCAGGCCATTATCAGTTACCTTCATGATATTATTAAGTTTGAGCTGACCATTATGTTTAGCACACCGAAAAACTATTGCCATCCATACTCGAGTGTCATATTGAATTTCGGTGGTCTGCACAAAATATCTCTACGTACGTAGACTACGTTGGCTAGCTGTGCGCCATTCGAGGGGGAAAAAGAGAAATATTCCTCTCTCTCTCTCTCTCGTTTAGATGAAGTACCTACTCTCTCTCTCTATGTAGTCTATATATATCTACTACTCCGTACTAGATGGAGAAACTAAACGAGGGAGAGCGTTGTTCGTTCATCTCTGAATCACTAGCATCTTTCCCTCCTGGCTTGGTTCCTCACTCCGGCCCTCTCCAAAACCAAAAGGGTAGTAGTACGATATGCTCATCGTTGAGGACAAAGGGGCCGCCATCGCGCTGATGCTGGCGTCCCTCTTCGTCCTAGGCACCTTCCCCGCCCTGCTGACGCTGCTGGAGCGCAGAGGCCAGCTGCCGCGCACACGTACCTCGACTACTCCATCACCAACCTCCTCGCTGCCGTTGCCATCGCCGTCGCTTTTGGGCAGGCAGGAGAGAGTAAGCCTGGCATGCCAAACTTCTTCACTCAGAGCTCACCCAGGCTAGCTAGCTAGTGTTCTTCATTCATTCATTCCGGTTGATCTCCGAGCCAGCTTCTTTGCTTGAACTGAATTTTTGTGATGGCAGATACAGGATAACTGGCCTTCAGTCCTTATTGCAATGGCCGGTGGAGTCACGCTCGGCCTCGGGAACCTCATCTCGCAGTATGCATGGGCGTTTGCCGGCCTGTCAGTGTCCATAATCATCTGCTCATGCATGGCTGTTGTTATAGGTACATATATATATGCATCCAATATTTATGAACATTGCTGTGGTAGAAATTAATTTACAGAAGGTTACAGGAACGACCACGAACTATTTTCTGGATGGGCGGATAAATCGAGCTGAGATCCTTTTCCCTGGTGTGGCCTGCTTCCTCGTCGCAGTCTTCCTCGGTACAGCTGTCCACTGTTCAAATGCCAGGGATAATCAGGAGAAACTAAGAACGTCAGGAAACATCCATGCATGCATGATCCATGTGATGTGTGCAGCATTATTTTCCTTAATTTGGTCAGCAATTAGAACAACTTGTTTTGTTTGTTGCAGGGTGGAGAACAGAGGTACTGAGCTTAGCAGCAATGCCACCGACACTGGTAGTGTTCCATTACCATTTTTTTTAGTAAAATATGAACTGTTCACGTGACACAGTCAAGAGATTAGTAGGGAAGATGAATAAAATTGTTCTCCAGGGAAGGTGCTGCAGGTGGCAGATCCTGAAACAGGTAAAAACGGCGACGGCACAGATCACAATGTTGTCAGTTATCAGGCGAAAGCGAAACCGGGCATTGCAGAGTTCATAATACAAATCGAGCAGAGACGATCAATCAAGGTCTCGTACTGTAAAAATACTTGAAGTTTTAAATCCAAACAAACATCAGTGCTCCATAGTGACCGATTGGGCAATACTAAGGTACATCCTTTACCTCCAAAGAGGTAATATCTCAAATAAATCTGAGCCTTTGATTTTTAGATTTTTTTAAATCAATTAATTAACCTAAGAAAAGGAAAAAGAAAAAGAAAATATCTTCAAATCCCCTCACGCACGGGACAGACAGAAGCGGCGGCCGGCCGCGCGGCCCTTCCTTGTTGATTGCGGAGCCTTCCTTTCAGTATATTACATATATAAAAAATATCAACATGTAATAATTGAGTAATACATCATAATGCAGGTTCTGGACTCCCACAAGCTGCTGGGCCTGGGCTTGATCTTCCTTGCCGGCACCTGCTTCGGCACCTTCCTGCCGGCGATAAACCTGGCCACCGACGACCAGTGCCACGTCCTGCGGGACAGCGTGCCGCACCTGCTGGTCTATACCGCCTTCTTCTACTTCTCGCTCTCGTGCCTCACGCTCGGTGTCTGCCTCAACATCTGGTTCCTGTACCGGCCGATGGCCGGCGTGCCGGCGTCGACCGTCGGAGCCTACCTGAGGGATTGGAACGGCCGGCACTGGGTCCTTTTGTCAGGGACTCAGGGTTGCTCTGCGACTTTGGGAACGGTTTTCAGTTCATGGGCGGCCAGGGCTGCTGGCTACACGACCGCTGATGCGGTTCAGGTACTCTTGGTCTTGGCCACCACCTTCCTGTAATCCTGTAAGATCACCGGCCTCTGCAGGCTGGTGTTGTGTGTGGCTGTGTGCCGTGTGCGGGTGCGTTTCTGACACAACGCAACTTGTTGGCATTTCATGATCAGGCGCTGCCGCTTGTTAGCACGTTCTGGGGAGTCGTCCTCTTTGGCGAGTACCGGAGATCGTCCAGGAGAACGTACATGTTGGCATGTTGCTTGCCGGCATGCTGTCCATGTTCGTCGTCGCAGTTGCGGTTCTCATTGCTTCGGCAGGGCATAGGAAGACATCACCTCCATCGTCAGATGCTAAACTCATTGTTCAACGTCGTCAAGCTCTATGAAGAACATCGTGGATGCGACTAGCAGAATTTAATTTGGAGCAATTTGAAATATTCAGCTCTTTGTATATTTACCATTCCTTAGTATCCAGCAGGGATATTTTTGTTGCCTTGGTTTGATAGCACGTGATTTGGCTGATGGAGCAACTTATCCGTGTGGTATCTAGTTCAGATGCTTATAATAAGGTCCAACAGGCAACAGGCAACAGCACAAAGCTGTTCACCAACAACTAGGTCTTGGTGAGAACGGAGCCATGGCTTTGTGCTACTTTTGTCGGGCCTGGGCTAATTTTCCCATTTAGCTTTACTAATCGATCCTACTCACAATGTTCAAAGACTTGAAATCACAGTTGTCGGTTATATTCTTTGCAGCCGGGACTCTAAACTCACGAATCTTAGGCTTGGTTCACACGATTTTTCATGTCTCATGCACATGCAGTGGGAATCGCAATCGGTATTAATTAAAAGCAATGTAACTTGTCTATTGAAAGGACGAGATGGACGAAGAGGCGGTGAACTTTGTTTCATCTGAAGCCTATGCCCAGCGTCAGCAAGTTCAGACCCTCATTCAGAACACTCAGTTGCCACAAGAACTGGATAAATAATGGTCTTATTTACAGGGATCTGCAATCTTCTGTTCAAGTAAAGCCTATATAGAGCTAAGATTGGACACAGGGCAGTGCATAACGCATATCAGTGGCTTTGGAAATCCTCATGCCAAAATAAAAGAAAAAAATTCTTTTGGTGGGTTTTAAAAGACAGATTAGAGAGCTTCTTCAGAGCAGGAACATGTCTCTTCCAAATTACAATTCTGTGCTCTGTTCCCATGAGGCCATGACTACAAAATCTCTCCTTCACTTGCTTCTCGGTTGCCCGTTTGCTTTGGCGTGTTGGAACACGCTTAATCTTGCTGTGCCAGCCACTACTGATCTACTCCAGGTTGTGGCCAGTTTCAGGAATCAACTAAGTTTGCCATTTTTTATGGAGATTATCGTCACTGTGTGTTGGGCTATTTGGGCTGTTAGAAATAATGTCATCTTCAGGAGTATCCCTGCTTCAGTACAGAGATGCAGATCAATCTTCAAGTCTAAGTTTGCCCTAGTTATAATACGGGCCAATAGCAAGTATCCCCCCTTCAATTGACTTATGGTTAGAACGAAGGTCATGTGTAGTTCTTATCTTCTTTGTAACTTTTTTTTCGTGATTGTCGTTGTAAAACCTTTTTTTTCCAGCAATAAAGCACAGTAAGGGCTCAAGCCCCTCCTGTTTTTGATCAAAACAAAGAGGCGGTGAACTGGTCTATAAAAATTATAAGCAACAAATCTCAACTTAAAAATAATACTTTGGTCTAATTTCCATATCTTGTGATGGGGACAAGGTTCCCGATCTTCCGTCATGTGCTGATAACTCTCGTTTTGGTTGGAGCACCGAACTCTGCAACCTTAGCACTACAACTCATCTGGTTATCAACCGTGTTACAAATCTAGTTGATCTCGCCAAGGAGGCTAATCTCTGCCTGCAAAACGAAGAACACAAGCAAGAACTCAAAACAAGACAATGGAGTGACAATTGCAGATGTATTACTAAGTTCACGAAAGTGGAGTTTCATAACGGATGACGGCGACTGTTCAATGACAGATTAATCTAAAACAAAACCCAAACACTAATGGTCGTCACAAACCCTGGACGCGCCACCTACGAGCTCTAAGACGATACACGACCCAACAGACCAAAAGACAGGGACTCAACACCCTGATAGATTTTAGACGCTGACTTTCGACAATTCCCAGTGACTCCGGTGGAATTTGGACATCAACCAAAGCCATTGGTTAGCTTATAAAATTATCTTTCCATGCATATGTGGATTATAAAAAACGGAGTCCAATATGCGTCCTAGGCATCTATTTTACTGTAGGCTAGTCGTGAAGGCCGAGGTAGATTCGAACTCGAGTTGGACTGGGCCTTTAGCTTGTCTTGGACGTTCTTTCTGGTCTTCTCCACCTCCACACCTCTCTCCAACTACTTCATGACCCTCTCCAATTGAAAGCCCTAGTTTGGTTTTGGATAATTGATGAAACCTATGGACTAATCCTTGAGCTGAATGTGTAGACAAGAAAGGATGGTCCAAAGCCAAGTGGTGGAGCTAGATGATGCTCATGGTGATGGTGGTGACCAAAAGAGATGATCAAATGCTCCAACTTGAAAAAGAAGAAAGAGAAAAACAAAAACCAAGTGTTGATCAAGGTAAATGTATCAAATAGGTTTTTGTTTTGGCATTCAAGAGACCATAGAGGGTGTGAGTGTGTTTAGAATCGATAACCGTACTATAAAGAGAAGAAATCTTTGGCTAAGTGGTTGTCGAGTGCCACTAGGTGATGTGATTCATGCATATGCATTTAGGTACCTAGTGTGCTAACAATTAACCCTTAAAAAATAGTTACAAAAATTCTAACACACATGCACATGAGTTATACACTTTGTGGTTAGCAGCTTCGAAGTAAGGGTGAAGTGTTTGAGGAGATAGAAAAAGAAAAGTAGATGATCTAGGTGACCGAACTCTGGGTCTCGGTGTGACCGGACCCACAAACCCTGGGTCTCAGCTAGCCTCGATGTCTTGACCGGACGATGGACCAGACCCGCACGCAGCGTCCGGTCATGTGCAGCAGAGACTGCGCTGCTCGAGCAGTCGATCAGACGCAGGAGGCAACACACGACCGGACGCTAGGTGAACACTATTCATGCGTCTGGTCATGGTGATGTGGCACGCGTAGTGAAGAGAGAAGAAGAGGACCGGCCGCCGGTCGCATCCGGTCAGAGAAAAACTTGTCTGTGTGGTTTCTAGAGCCGACCAGACTCTAGGTGTCCGTGTGTCCGATCGTGGCACAGGCACGTCCGATCCTTGGCTGGCGCGCGCGCAAAGGTGCCAACGACTCGATTTGAAATAAGGGCGACGTGGCAGGCACTGGGCGGCTTGGGGGTGTGACCGGACCCACCTGACCGGACGTTGGCGCGAGTCTTGTCAGTGCGTCCGATACCCCTTCGATGGACCAATGGCTCTATTTCATTTGGCCGGCTATTTAAACTTTGTGGCCAGCCTTGGGGTCTCTCTCTTGGCCATTTGACATACTTGACATCCCTTTGAGCTGAGAAGCACCTCTCCCACTCATCTCCATCATTGATTTATCATCACAGTGAGATTGGGAGTGATTCTTAGTGCATTTGCTTGAGTGATTGCATCTAGTGGCACTTGGGAATCGTTGTGGCTGCAGATTTCTTGTTACTCTTGGTGGTTGCCACCACCTAGACGGCTTGGAGCAGCTGAGGAGCATAGGCACGAATCGGTGATTGTTCGTGGCCATCTCTCGACGATTGTGAGGGGTCTTGTACCTTCCCCCGCGGAGAGCCAAAAGGTAACTCTAGTGGATTGCTCATGTTATTGAGTTACCTCACTTGTGGGTAGGTTCTTGCGGTGCCCAAGTGTTGGGCTAGGTTTGTGAAACACCTATTAGGCGTCGAACCACCAAGTGTTCACTACTACAGATTGATTTATCACTGTCGCCGTTTTCACAGCCATAGCTATAGAAGCGACGGTGTCATACTTCCACCGCGGTTGGACCGATAGGGAGGCCTCGTAGGGAAGGAAACTGGCCGTTGAAACTTCTACCACACACGGGTTAACAATGGATGTGGCATTGGTATTTTCTCTATCGCATGAAAAGCCGACCCGACTAGGATAGGCGTTCTGGCTGCCGGCCCTACACGACCGTTTGGTTTACCGGTTTGTAGAAAATTTAGCATGAGTTATTTCCCCATTTCCGACTACCCACAACACGGTTGCATCACCAATATTACTCCGTACTACTTCCACCTCTCCCTCTTCAAGGTTGGCGCATTGTTCCTCTCTCCCGATTTATGTGAACATTTTTCGCCGCGCCGCCACCTCCCTTGCGGTCGGTGCATTGTTCCTCTCACAATTTGTGTGAATCATTGCACACCTCATGGCGCCGCCGCCTTGAGATCCAAAGGCAAGGGTATGCTTTAGCACTTCAGCGATGGATCTTTGTTGGATTATTTTCCTCTTTAATGATCTCATTACTAAGGAAGCTCTCATCCTCATCGCATAATGACGATCGTAGGGCTCTTGAAATGGAGGCGGTCCCCAACAACAATAATGCATTGGCTAGCCTCATAGAGGATGTTGTTCTAGAGATCCTCTGCTGCCTCCTCGCCCCCCTTGTTCTCCTACAAATGTGTCTATCACTCTGGAAGTGCCTCATCTCCGACAACCGTCAGGTGCTGCCCCAGTCTGTGGCCAGCTTCTTCTATGATTATGAGAACGACAATCAAAACTTCACCGGCATCTCGGTGTATGCCCCCCTCCTTGAATTCTTTCCTTCAACCACGACAATATAGATGTCTCAAATTGCTTTAGCGGTCTCATCCTATGCTGGTGCCTTGTGGCTGATGGATACCGCTATGTCGTCTGCAATCTAATGACCCAGAAGTTTAATATACTGCCGCCTAGCACCCATGATGTTGGCCATTCTATTGGTGAGGCTCGCTTGGGGTTCAATCCAATAGCCTCCTCGCACTTCCATGTGATTGAGTATGTGGATGTCGACTGTTTCTACGTAGGTGTGGAGATCTACTCATCTAAAACTACAGCATGGATCTATAAAGAATCTGAATGGGGCAAGAATACTGATGTGACATTTTACAGACAACCAAGTGTGCTTCTTAACGGTTGTCTACACATTATGGGGCACTCTGTTATACTTGCTGTGGATATGGAGGGAAACACATGGAGGAAAATTGATAGGCCTAGTGGACTTCAACATTCCATGCATCAAGCTCAGGGTCACTTATGTGTATGTACTGTTGCTGGTCCCAATGATTCCAAGCTTTCAATCTGGATCCTTGAAGATTATGGTACTAATAATTGGACATTGAAGTATACGGTCAGCACGCAGATCCTGTTTGGAAGGATTAATATTAGATTTGGTTTTGTGGATTGGGTTGTCGAGT